GGAAAAGCGAGAGACACGATGTAATAAGCAATAAAAAGAAAAAAACAAAACGGAACAAATATGGGTTCAGGATCATAACAGCAAAATTCACCAAGACGTCGAAACGAATACGGCAACACACAGACAAGGCAAAAAAAAACAAATAACTAGGTGAAAAAGAAAAGCAAATACGCAAATATAGAGCAAAAAAAGGTAGACACGAAAACTGACAGTCGAAAAACAGTTATAAAGCACCGACAAAAAGATAAAACATCGCAAAAAAGAGAGCAACAAAAATAATAAAAAAACCCCACCAAAGTAACACACAAAAAACGCACACAACCACACACGCTCAAGCCCTAACACAGACAGACCGATGGACACATGGACACACAGAAACACACACAGACAGACTAGCAGACAGACGTGGGGTAAACAAGATAACACACATCAACACACACACTCACAAAAACACAAGCAAGCACGCATTCCACAACAAATAAAAAAATGTGCGCGAACAAGGACACGCACACCCACTTCCACAACCACAAAAAAACCAACAGCAACAAACAGCCTCAAAGCAATCAATAAAATCTGCATCACACAAATTCGCAAAAACACATATACACACTCAGATATACCCACACAATACAGGCAACGGCACACAAAAATCACAGTCACAGTAACCGTCCAGCACGCAGGAACGCACTCCAAATGAAACATAATAAAATGTACGCGACCAAGCCCACGCACACCCAGGCTCCCAACATCAACCTCAGATAAAACATCAGCAGCAGTCACAGTAACCGTCCAGCTACCATCGTGAGCTCCACTCAAATTCAAATGCGAAATCTCACACAAACTCAATGTTAGAATAAAATAGGAAATATCACAGCTACACGAATCAACGGTGCGCTAGCAACCTGACAGGCAAATCACCGTCAAACCTGATTGGAAAACAAACTACGGCATCCTCACAACGCTGCCTCGTCGAACACCACTGGGCACACATAGCTCGCCTCTGTTGGAATCTGTTAGCATCTGTTAGCTTGCGTGCACTCATATCATCTAGTCAGCGATACGCGGGTTATCCTCATTTCAACTGTCCACGCGATATCACCTTCCAACTCACATCTACAAACACACTCCACACATCAATCAACTACATCATACTCAGCTAGCACTCGTGTGCATTCCCATACAGGCTGCCGATCACGAAGACGGGCAGTGCTCCATGCTCGTTGCACGTCCACCGGACGGTTCCGTGATTCACTCTAGCGTTATTATTTTTGTACCTTTCCAAATACTCCTGGGTAACCAGACCACTAAAAAGTCAAGCAAAGTAAAAAATAATCACTTGCCCTCAAAAATTTCTTGATGCGTAGGACCCTCTGGCTGACCATCCGAGCTTAGTGGTTGCAGAGTTAGAAAGTACGTTTGACAGGGTTTGATTGCATCGCTGACGTATCGGGAAGATCCGTTCCATGTTCCATTGTAAACAATAATATCCGAGCCGGGATGCTCTTGAACAGTGACCTGATACGATGCTTCAACGCAAGATACAGAACGGGTAATAAGCAAAGCAGAACCATTGACAAATATAACCGAGTTTCCGAAACCAGAAGAATCTGCAAAGGTAAAAAAGAAAACAGACATACAGCCAAACCAAAGAAGGACTAAAATCAGTAAGACGCAAGCAAAACAAAACAGAATTAAACAAAGGATGGGAAAAGCGAGAGACACGATGTAATAAGCAATAAAAAGAAAAAAACAAAACGGAACAAATATGGGTTCAGGATCATAACAGCAAAATTCACCAAGACGTCGAAACGAATACGGCAACACACAGACAAGGAAAAAAAAACAAATAACTAGGTGAAAAAGAAAAGCAAATACGCAAATATAGAGCAAAAGAAGGTAGACACGAAAACTGACAGTCGAAAAACAGTTATAAAGCACCGACAAAAAGATAAAACATCGCAAAAAAGAGAGCAACAAAAAAAATAAAAAAAACCCACCAAAGTAACACACAAAAAACGCACACAAACACGCATTTGCAAACCCTAACACAGACAGACCGATAGACACGTGGACACACAGAAACACAGAGAGACTACCAGACAGACGTGGGGTAAACAATATAACACACATCAACACACACACTCACAAAAACACAAGCAAGCACGCATTCCACAACAAATAAAAAAATGTGCGCGAACAAGGACACGCACACCCACTTCCACAACCACAAAAAAACCAACAGCAACAAACAGCCTCAAAGCAATCAATAAAATCTGCATCACACAAATTCGCAAAAACACATATACACACTCAGATATACCCACACAATACAGGCAACGGCACACAAAAAGTCGACGTCACAATCACAGTCACAGTAACCGTCCAGCACGCCCTCAAAGCATAAAATCTGCATCACACAAATTCGCAAAAACACATATACACACTCAGATATACCCACACAATACAGGCAACGGCACACAACACAAACAGTCACAGTAACCGTCCAGCACGCAGGAAAGCACTCCAAATGAAACATCACAAAATGTACGCGACCAAAGCCACGCACACCCAGGCTCCCAACATCAACCTCAGATAAAACATCAGCAGCAGTCACAGTAACCGTCCAGCTACCATCGTGAGCTCCACTCAAATTCAAATGCGAAATCTCACACAAACTCAATGTTAGAATAAAATAGGAAATATCACAGCTACACGAATCAACGGTGCGCTAGCAACCTGACAGGCAAATCACCGTCAAACCTGATTGGAAAACAAACTACGGCATCCTCACAACGCTGCCTCGTCGAACACCACTGGGCACACATAGCTCGCCTCTGTTGGAATCTGTTAGCATCTGTTAGCTTGCGTGCACTCATATCATCTAGTCAGCGATACGCGGGTTATCCTCATTTCAACTGTCCACGCGATATCACCTTCCAACTCACATCTACAAACACACTCCACACATCAATCAACTACATCATACTCAGCTAGCACTCGTGTGCATTCCCATACAGGCTGCCGATCACGAAGACGGGCAGTGCTCCATGCTCGTTGCACGTCCACCGGACGGTTCCGTGCTAGG